GACAAGGACTATAATTCTCCCTTCATTAAAAGTATTAATGATAAATACTGAGTAACTAAACCTTTTATAAATACCCAATCTTAGTTACTTAGGAAAAAGTGAATAAGGTGCTAATCCATGAAATTACGCTTTGCACTTTGTTTAATTCGGTTAATGGAGCGTGTGTGGTTAACCGGCACACTAACTCGTATTTAACAAGGTAGGCAAAGGGTAACTTAATGTTTATCATAGTATCGATGGAGCGTGTGTGGTTTACCAACACATCGATTGAGGGGTAAACACTTAAGGGTACCAAGTAATTTGCATGGTTACTTCACACCTTGTTTTGTGATCCTCGACATCCCAGTCACAAAACCTGAAGGGCACACTTGAGATTAAAACATGCCATTGAACAGTTCAATGAATCTCAAAGATCTAGGAGTTTTAAAAACCAATTAAAACATAATAATATATATTTCATTTTCATGGTGGAAATTGGTGAATCGTCATTCGCCTACCTTCAAATATTTTACAGCTTGGATTACGGCATTCCTCTTCCAAGTTATAAAAGTATTGTGTTGGGTCCTAGCCTTAATATTTCAAATTAGGTGTTATATTAAGGACTTTAAATCAACTATCTTGAATATCTCCCAAAAGATGTCTGATTTAGACATTTATGATCTTCCCAAATCTCTTGAAACAAGCTTTCCTAAATGAAGATGATGTCCCATGGAAATCATACTTCTTTCACCTCCTCTAATTATTCTCCCTAACCCACAAGTTCCTGAAAAGTTTAAGGTCACTCAAGCCCTATTGGCAAGCAAAGGTCTATGTATGATCCCATCTTGGAGATGTAGTCACATATTGACAAGCCGGGAGAGTTGGGTGTGAAAGTCTTGAGAAAGTTGGTCGCTCAACTACTTTCTAAGTCACATAGTGAGTTCTTTTGGAACACCTATGAAATAGACTATGACAAGACCCTTAATGATCTTATCTATTTGCTAAGATCAACTTCCTAAAACTTGTGGACATTGACAATAATGACATTGGATATCTAGTAAAGATCTCTCTTGCCAATGGAAAGGGATTGGCCATAGTCAACTTGGTTGACCAAATGGTAAAGAGAAAGGCTAAGTCTGTGATAGTCCCATGTTCCATTACCAAAACGTACATATGTTAAATTTCCAAAGGAAGGGGCATTAGTTGCGAAGCTGCCAATTTTACCTAAGGATGTTAAAGTCAATAAGTTTGACTCTACTTCAGGTAAAGTTCACTATCTAACTATGCTATGTTTCTATTATGATATTCTTGATACATGGTGTGACTGGGTCAGATGGTGATGTTTTAAGAATCAAAGAAAAGTGAAGGAACTTAAAGAAAAAATATGTTGAATCTGATCACGTAGATGGATTTCTATCGCATAGTTTGAAGATCGGATTCTTGAGCTACTTCTTAGGAGTTATGAGATATTGCTTAGGAATAGATAACAACAAGTTTTCATATGGATTGTAAGGATAGGTTTTTCTGCAAAGTTTTAAAATAAAAGGAAATTTTTGATTTTACTTATTTTATGTATCCTTACAATGGCATTTGTGGAAAATTGTTGCTTATAAGATTCCACTGATAGTAATATTGGAAAGTGAATTTGATTCTTTCATTTGTGGTAATGTCTAAATTTACCAAATAAGGAAAGATCATCATCACCCAAGTTTCAATTGGACCGAAACATGGAATCATGCAAGTTGTATAGCATGATGAATGAGATTTTTTCATCTTTGGAAAAATTAAGACTAGTTCCTTGTTAACATGTATATGTGAGTCAAGTGAAGGACTAAGGGATCGAGTACACATTCTTGTGCATTGGTCAAGTCCACCACAAAAGATCAATAAGATTATTTATCATAATTTACTAAAGCTCAGTAAATATGGTTATACTTACAAGCTTAAGTAATTCTGAGACATTGGAAAAGGTTCCAATGTATGGCAGAGCGAATAAATTAGGCATAAGGATAAAAGTTTCTCAAATCTGAAAAGATGGGAGAGTACTTTAGTATCATGTTATATGATCATCTTAATGATTAAGAGACCTTATCACAATTCATCCTATAAGTTCATTCTGATAGCTAAGAATAGGAGCTATGAATTGTTGAAGTGGTTAAATCAAGAAGATGATTCATACTTCGTTCCAAGAACAAGTCTTAGAGTCATACTCCAAGATTGTAACTTGAGTGACATGTCTTAAAGAAGGTTTAAAATACTTATCAAACGTAAGAGTAAAAGTTTTCTACTCTTGTACATTTGAAGTTGGTAATTTGTGATGTTTTGGATAAAACAAAGACCAACTAAGGCCAATTGTGTAAAGTGTTTGTCTTGATTAGAATCCACACTATCTCTTGAATATCTGACAAGAAAGTCTTATATGTCAAGATGACAGTGGGAGTCTTAAAGGTCTTTAAAGTCTCAAGAACTAATCAAGAATAAAATTGAAGTTCTTCACTAGCACACGACTTGAGGTTTAGAACCTATCGTGTTGACATATTCTGTGCCCATTCCAGTTAAAGTTGGCTTTTCATATGAGTTCTTAGCGTTCTCAATTGGTTTCACAACAACTTGGAAGCAATGGCAGGCGCTTGAGCTGCCAGGTGGCAAGAGATTAAGATTGAGTTCAGTCCATATGAGTTTGGATTTGTCATTATCCTTGTCTTGTGACTATGGTTTTGACAATTCACATGGATAAGAACACATACACCATTAAATCTAAGGGTTATAAGGTTTCTCTCCGATTCATGAAAAATGATGGTGAGGAAACACTTCCACCAAGTATATTTTAAGTAGATAGCAATTGTGATATTTGCATTCTCAAAGTCATTAGTGGAGCTGTGTGGTTAACCGACACACTAACATGGACTTGTGAGAAGTGGCAAAGCTCTAAACAATTGAGACTATGATTACGACATCCCTTTTCATAGTTCTGAAATTGTTTAGACACACCTGTGAGCTATCTAAGATAAGGTGTATGATATTGATAAAGTTTTATCAAAGCAATCTAGTATCAGAAATCTGAACTTTGGTAAGAAAGTCAGTAAAGTATTATTTTTTCTAGAAGTTCAGCTGATTTCTGAGTACACGTCAAAGCTAGTGGGAGCATAAGTGTTATGCTAATAATCATCATGTTAGCGGGAGCATGATGATTATGATAAAGGTTGCAAGTTAGCAATGTTAATGTAACGACCAAAAATTTCAACAAATTTTAACTTTTTAAAAGCAACCCATTTTAATCATGTTATTACAAAAAGGTTTTCAATACATTTATTATCAGAGTATTCCCAGAACCATATCATAAAACACAAACACGAGGAGCGGTACGATCACGCCTTTGCCTTGCCACGGTCTCCTGAAGAACCTGAAAAACATTAAACCACAACTGTAAGCCCGAAAGCCTAGTGAGATACCCCCAAAATACCAACCATATACACATAACATGCTATATCATAACAAATCGCAGAACAGCCATGCATATCGGGTCTACTGTGTGACTGGTCCGCCGTGACGAGCCTTCAGTCCACCTGGTCCACCCTCCGAGTCTAGTCAAGTCCCTCGAGTCTGCAGTGTGGTTGGTCCGTCCGCACCGAGCCTCCAACCCACCTGGTCCACTCTCTGAGTCTACAGTATGACTGGTCTGCCCGCATCGGGCCTTCAGTCGGCCTGGTCCACTCTCCGAGCCTCG